CCTGAATTTATTTCTAACTTAGACTTTAGTTTTTCCATCTGAATGGTCAATCTTTTTTAGTCTATTAAAGGCTAATAATGCTGGGTGGTGGTGGTGCATGCCTTTAATCCCAGCACTGGGGAGGCAGAGGCAGGCAGATATCTGAAAGTTCAAGGCCAGCCTGGGCTACAGAGTGAGTTCCAGGAAAGGCACAAAGCTACACAGAGAAACCCTGTCTCAAAAAAACAAAAACTCACTCATAAGTGGATACTAGATGTAAAGCAAAGGATAACCAGACTGCAACTCACAACTCCAGGGAGGCTACCTAGTAAAGAGGACCCTAAGAAAGACACAGGGATTGCCCAGCGACAGAGAAATGGATGAGATCTACATGAGCAAACTGCGGGTGATGGGGGTAATGAAGGGCAACGGATGGGGGGAAAGAGAGCTTAGGAGAGCGGGAGGTCCCAGCTGGATCAGGAACAGAGTGGGAGAACAAGGAGAGAGATACCATGATAAATGAAGACTCCATGGGAATAAGAAGAAGCAGAGTGCTAAGGAGGTCCTCAGGAATCCACAAAGATGACTCTGCTATAGACTACTGGCAATGGTCAAGAGAGTGCCTGAGCTGACCTACTCTGGTGATCAGATGGCCAAACACCCTAACTGTTATAGAACTCTCATCCAGTGACTGATGGAAGTAGATGCAGAGATCTATGGCCAAGCCCCAGGTGGAGCTCTAGGAATCCAATTGACGAGAGAGAGGAGGGATTTTATGGGCAAGAGATAGCGAGACCATGATCGGAAAAAGCACAGGGACAAATAACTGAACTAGCGGAAACACATGAACTGTTAACCAATAGCCGAGGAGCCCCATTGAACTGGACCAGGTCCTCTGGATAAGTGAGACAGTTGATTAGCTTGAACTGTTTAGGAGGCCCCCAGAAAGTGGGACCAGGACTTGTCCTTGATGCATGAGCTGGCTTTTTTGGAACGTAGGGCCTATGCTGAGACACTTTGCTCAGCCTTGGTGCAGGGAGGAGGGGACTGGACCTGCCTCAACTGAATCTACCAGGCTGGGCTGATAGATTGGAGGAGGCTGGGCTTGCCTTGGAGGAGGTGGGAATGAGGGAGTGGATTGTGGGGAAAGCCTGGGGAGTGGGAGGAGTGAGGACAGGGGAATCCATGGCTGATATGTAAAATTAAATTATTTATAAAATAAAAAAAATTTTAAATTAAAAAAATAAAGGCTAATAAAGCCTAGTAAGTATTCATTCCTTACTTCATTTCATACAGTGATACTACAACTTTATTTTTCTCTATTCTTTGTGTGTATATTTGTGTGTGTACCTATGTGTACAGGTATAAGTACATATGGAAGCCAGAGGTCAACATTGGGTATCTTCCTCAAGCACTCTTCACCTTGTTTTTTGAGACAGGATCTCTCACTGAACCAGGGCCTCCCAGTCTCAACTAGACTACCTGACCAACAAGCTCCAAGGGATCTGCCTGTCTCTTCATTCCCAGTGCTGGAGTCACACGTACGTGCCATGGACCATGACTTTTTCATGTGTGCTGGGAACCCAAACACAGGTCCTATTCTTATGTAGCAAGTACTTTCCTAACTGAGCCATCTTTCCAGCCTCATATTTTTCTTATATTCTTTTGTCCCTAACTGTCTCTCCTTACTTCCTAGCACTTAGGTGGGAGGAGAGAATTCTTTCCAACAAGTTGTCCTCTCACCTCCAGGAATATACATGTGTGTAAACACACACACACACACACACACACACACACACACACACACACACAAACACACACACACACACAAATAAATGTAAAAGTAATATTAATAATAATAAAGCTTTGCTATAATTTCTTCACCAAGGATGAAATTTATTATATAAGGGACCTTAAAAAAAGCAGCTATCCAGCCATAATAATTGTCTTTTAAAAAGAAGGAAAACATGTCTGAAATATTAAGTCTACTTTCCTGATGCAAAAAGAGAAGCTTGGTCTCTATCACAGCATCTTCTGGACCACTTAAGAGACCTCTGCCTGAGGATCTCATCATAGACTGTTCATGCTCCATCCTTTTCTTTAGACTCCTCACACTGGGAAATTAAATCCTTCATTCAGCTGAAAGGAGACTTGGCTAATTTCTCCCTACTAAGAGTCTTTGAAGTTCAAAGCATTTAGATTTCTCCCCAGTGTCTGGTGATATAAATTCTTTCTCCCAGCCTTTTACCAACTGGAATTCTTTTAGCTAGTACATCACAAATCCAAAAGACAGTCTTCCTAATGATACTTTTGAATATGCATCAAAAAGCCCCTGTATGTATTCCAAGACCAGCAGAATTATCCAGGAAAACAAACTACAATGTATCTACTGTAGGAATCTTTGAATTATATGGTGATTCTTCAGCAATTTTCCTAAGAAAAAGCATGAACACTCTGTCTTTATGGTGCCAATGGGATTAGGGAGCAGCCAAATGATTGAGTCTTTCTGTAACAGCAAGACAAGATTGTGTAGTCTTGATTTATTTTAATTATGAATAAAGTGAAATCTATGTGTGATTATTTGCTATAAGACTACTTGTATATCTTAAATATATTTTTAATTTTATGTGTATACATGTTTGCCTGCATGTATGAATGTGTGCCTGCTGTCCACAGAGGCCAAAACAGGATGTCAAATCCTTGGATATGGAGTAGCCGAGGGCTGTAAGTCTCTCAAGTGGGTTCTGGGAACCAAACCCCAGTCCTCTGCAGGAGCATAAGGGCTCTTATCTCCAGCCATGCTCCCATTATTTTTCATACGCAGTTATGTGATCTTCTTTTCAGTTGCCTGCGTTTTGTAAACTGTCGGCAAGTCTTCTTACTGTGATCTTTTCTCCCAATGACAGACAAGGGAGTCCCAGCAAGATATTTCACAATTGGGGCTTTTGACTAGCTTGCTATTTTTAAGCACCAAAAGGCTTGCTTGGAGCTAAGATTATGCATGGCCCTAAAAATAATTTCTCACAATCTTATGAACTAAATGGACAGACAATATGAGTGTTTCCATTTTTTAAATGAAGGAATTGAACTGCAGACTGAGTTCCTTTTGTCTAGAGTGACATAACTATTGGATGTACCATCTATTTAACACCCCCCCCCCCCGTGGAACATTAATCTAAGATGACTTTTGCTTCCTGTAAGGCTGGAGGATGGCAGTCATACAAATGCTCACTATTTCCAAACAGCCGCTTGCCGTCCTTTTGTTGGGGATCAGGAGCCTCTTCACTGCAGGTGTGTTGGCATTATTCTTTGATTAATCAATGCTGGACAGGGCTTCTGGCTAATCTCATTAGCTAATAGTGCTTCTGGGTAATTAGTGTGATGTGTGTAATTATCCTCAGATTTTAGGTCTCTTTTCCACTTTGACAGCATTGGTATGTATTTCATGCTTTGGAGAGCCATGGCCATTGGAGAAATTGAGTAAAATTCCCAAATGTTTTTATATCATGAGAGCCTACCCAACAATGGGATTATCTGAAATGTACCTGTTAAGAACACTTGCACTTCCAGAAATTTCTCAAGTGCACATACACATACATACATACACATATACACACACATACATGCACACAAAAACATAATCATATATACATGCATATGCACACACATATACATACATATGCACATATATACACATATGTATATACATACACATATACACAAATACATGTACACATATGCACATACACAGCCCAATGAAATGAAATCCGGAATTACTTTCAGAACTTCTCAAATTGGCTAAAGGCATGAGTCTGTAGTTTTGTGATTAAAAACTCCAAACAGGATTCAGCTGAACATATCACATTAGAAAGAAAAGGAAAACAATCCATGAGGGAGATAGCTATAGCACAATGGATATTATGTTACATGTTGGTAAATTTTTAATTTTTTAAAGATCCATTCTTTTATATGTAAGAAATGTGAGGTGTGAGCTCCAATCTCATTTCTGCCACAGTCTAACCTTCTGACATTTAAACCCATTGATACTTGGTTGTGTTGTGAATATGTCTTCCTTGGGCTCATTTATTAAACATTTTGTCCCCAGCTGATGGCACTACTTTTGGTGGTAGGAGAAGCTTTAGGAAATGGTGTCACAGGGATGTGTTCTTGGAGGGATGTTTTGTCCTTAACAACTTCCTGTCTTACTCTCTGCTCTTGTCTCATGAGAGAGCAGCTCTCTTTCAAGGCCAGCCCTATCAGGATATTCTGCTCAAGTGCATGCAGACACATGAAAACTTGTACTGAACTCATCAAGTCTCTAACCAGAATAATCCTCTTCCTTGAAGCTATTCTGTCACGTATTTTGGTCACAGCCACACAGAAGTAGCTTGTATAATACTCAGAGGATAGGTCTGTAGAATGAGAAAGACCATTTAGTTAGCTCGCATTAAACTTCCACTGTGAACTGGACCTGTGAGCAAGGCTGAGAGCAAGGGGACTCAGCTGCTGAGTTTGCTGTCCCACCACGTTAGACTGGCTGACTTTTTTTTTTTTTTTTTTTTTGGTTTTTCGAGACGGGGTTTCTCTGTGTAGCTTTGCGCCTTTCCTGGAACTCACTTGGTAGCCCAGGCTGGCCTCGAACTCACAAAGATCCACCTGCCTCTGCCTCCCGAGTGCTGGGATTAAAGGCGTGCGCCACCACCGCCCGGCTAGACTGGCTGACTTTTAAGACCCTTTCAGATGCAGCAGCCTGTGACTCTATCAAAAGCCATTCTTGTCTTCTTGTACTTCCTTCTAAGGATGTTGGGTGAACACACTGGGAAGCAAAGCACTGTCAGGATGCTTCAACCCTGGAGTCCTTCAGGAGACAGGGAAGCCTTCATTGTGGCTTCCTTTTCCTAACCTCCCCAATATCACTCATAACTACATCCATCCTGTGCCGGAAAGAGGGATCATGTGTGCTGATCATACCTTCTGTCTTTTTCTGGGTACATATCTGGTCCTTTCTCTTATCTCAGCAGGGCACCCAGCTGCATTGGGCCAAGAGCATACAAACCCAGCTACAGAGCTGTCACCCTCCACTGCGGCATCTCAGCCAGTTGATTTCAAGGCAGTTCAGCAACTTTGCCCAAGTCAGTGTTGTCAGGTAAATAACTTGTGCCTAATGTAATCCTCAGAATGAATTGTCCTGTAATAGAAACTTACCATGGTTTGTTATTGCCTAAGCAATTTGGAAGTTGATTTTCTTTTTTAAACCAGAAAGCACTCCTGTCTCCTTAGGATCCATTCCTGGGGGAGAAGCATCCACTTTGACTCAGAAGAAATTTGCTGCTAAATGTATTATTTGTCCAGCCACTGACGGCCTCTCACTCAGGGGCTGAGGTCTAGAGCAGAAGCATTTACTGTCTCATGTGACGTATTAATAATCATTTCTATTAATAATCAATGCAACAGCAAATGTATTGGGTTTTACTTCCCTTCTAACTCTCCCTCAGTAATCATCTTAAAGGGAAAGGAAGCTCTCCTCATCTTCCTCAGCACTCTCATGCGCCTCCTTTTAGATATTGTCCCTTGAGAGGTAGAGGGAGGAAGGAATGGAAATGGTGATGCTTTTCACTCTGTTACATGTTAAAGATAAAGGGGATATTTGAGCGCCTACAAAGCCCAAGAAAGGACAAGAAGTCAGCTAGTATTTTCTGTTCTTCAGTCATGGTCTGAAGAGGGATTCTTTCCTTTATTCTTCAAATTCTGCAAATGAGAGATGTTGGATGGCTCTCTAAATAGCTAAGCATCGCCGCATTTATAGTGTTATTATTATTTTTATGTGTGCTATTTTCCCTTAGCAATAGAAAGAAAATAAATCGTCTTTTCATTGCCAGTTCTATTTTTGTTGAGGGCTTAACTAGAAGATATATCTAATCATAATGAGCAGAGCATAAAGAATATTAAGATTAAAAGAACTTATATTTTCCTTTATCCTCTCAACCATCCCCAGATGGATTTCCTAGGGGTTGCCTTCTAAATCTTCTTGCACAGTGAGCTGTAAATCCCAGACCCAGCAAGCTCTGGTTTGGCTGAACATAGCCTTTCATGTACAATATGTACAGCCTGAATAATGGTAGAAAATTATTCAGAAGATAATTACAGCAATTGATCTTGAGATGTTTTGTAGCTTCCTTCATAGATCATTCTTCAAAGCCTTTTGGAGAAATGGTGTCTATGGATGATGCTAGAAGCAAAAAGCTTCCAGGGATTAATGTAAAATAAATAGCCTATGAGAGTAGTAGTTGCCTTAGAAGGAAGGCCATCACCTAGGATAACTCAGGTCGGAGGTCAAAGAAAACTGAATGAACATCATGGCAGTTCCAGTATGCAGTGTAGAACTTGTCACCTTCCTCTACCAACTCAGGTAGCCCATAAAACCAAGTCAGTAATTATACATTGATTCACAGTTGCTCAAGAACCTCTACAACTCTAACACTTCTAAATGAAGTGGAAAGGAGGGGGCCTTCAACTTGTATTATAGATAAAGAAAATGATGGTGAAACCCAGTCTGTCTCACCAAGGTGACTATGCAGGCTAGTAGCACCCCAGGAGAGCAGTCTCCTGGCCATCAGTCTAGCAAACTCTGTGGAGCTCCCTCTGGCTCTCATTAATCTCAAGCAAGAAGCAATTACATTTACCCTTTGAGAACTCTGAAGATTCCTATCTCTCTTACCAGGAAGATGGCATTACAATTCCCATCTCCACTGTTAGTACCATCTTTATATGTACATTCAGCAGATCCACAGAGATAGGTACACACACACACACACACACACACACACACACCCCTCTGAGGAGACACAGAGAGATGGAAAGTCACATCCATGTACAAATACCTTCCTGGATACACAGACACATGTATATATGCACACATCTCTATGTTCACACATACAGAGATGGACAAACACATTACACATGTGCACATCTCCATAGATACACCCAGAGATAGACAGACAGATAGTCTCACACCTCCTTGTACACACAGAAGTGGACAGACAGATAACACCTCATGGACATACAGAGATGGACAGACAAGATAGATATACATCTCCATGGACATGCACAGAGAGATTGGGCAGATACACATGCACACATGAACACCTCCATGAACACACAAAGGTGTTGAAAAAGACAGACATTGCCACAAACATACCTAGAGATTGATAAATCACCATGGACAGACACACAGAGAGGTAGACGGTCAGAGATGACCATCAACATGCAGAGAGGTAGACAGACCAACAAACACATGCACCTGCATCCTCTTTCCTTTTTTTTTTTTTTTCCAGTGCCTTGCACCAGGCAGAGAACAGATAAGCAGCTAAGCAAGTATGCATGTGCTGGCATGGAAATCAAGAAGGACTGTTATTTCATAAACAGCTCCACGAGACTCAGTGAGACCCATGGCTTCAGGAGGGTAGGTACCAGGAAGGGTACAGTGATATTTTATTTATGCTGAAATGTGATTTTATTTGTATGTTAATAAAGTTGCCTGGAGATCAGAGGTCAAAGCGAGACATTAAGCAGAAGTCCGGCGGTGGTAACACACGCCCTTAATCCGATCACATGGCAGGCAAAGTCTGTGTGGTCAAGGACACAGTCAAGCTTGGTGATATAAGTCTTTAATCCCAGTACCAACCATAGAGACCAGGAAGTCTGTATAGACAGGCAGTGACGAGAAAGTCATGTGGCTGGGCTTAGAGCCAATGAGAAGGCAGAACAGGAAAGCAATAAAAGACAAGTCACACAGGGAGAAGCTCTCTCTGGGGAAGGATGGGTGGTAGGCTAAAGGTAGTTTGGGCTCTTCGCTAGTGCTCTGATCTCTTTGGCTCTAACTCTGTATTTGGCTCTGTGTTTCTTATTTAATAAGACTGTTTAGAATTTCATCTACAGAAGGGCGTACAGTGGAGACAGGGACATCTTTTCTTGATGGCCCCTTGTTTTTAGAGATGTGGGGACCCACAAATCCAGTCATAGCTATGCTTTTCAACTCAAACAGTAAATCAGGGTGTTTCCATTCTGTGTCTTAGACACCTGTTGTGATGCCTCAGTAGAAGAGTTACTCCTAATTACATAAATATTGTAATATACATTATGTGCCATATGTTTATGATTTGTATTTATGTCATTATGTAAATATTTTGTTATGTACTTTTGATTATTTTCAAACCAAATGGATTTGAATTGAATTGATAATATGATTTTTGATAAATTTAAATGAGGCCCAAATAAGTAGGAATTGTCACCTGAAAGAAAAGATTTGTGTCTGAGAAACAGAAAGCATGGAAGTGAAGTGTTGACAGGCTTAATCTGGTCAGTTAGAGAGAAATGGCTAGAATCAGACCTGTAATCATTAATTGGCAACTATCTCTACTTTTTTACAGAACACTTCCTTTTTTTTCTCCTAAAGAATCATACCTCATCTATTTGTTTTATAATCGGTGTATTAGCAACAAAAGTTATCAAAATTAAAATAATTCCTTCTCTAGATCCTTACAAATGGGACTAAAGTTTCTTCTGTGAGTGAGATTGTGTCAGGAGGGCATGCATGTTTACATGTGTCTATGTTTAAGCCAGGGTAAGGCATGGATGTTCAAGCCTCACACATGTGTACAATATATGTTCAAGCCTGGGTAAGGAGGGCATATGTATTTGCATGTGTCCATGTTTAAGCCTGGGTAAGGCATGAATGTTTATGTGTACAAGTGTTCAAGCTTCACACATGTGTTTGCATGTGTCCGTATTCAAGTCTGGGCAAGGCTTATATGTATTGGTGTATGTATGTGTTCAAATGTGGGTAAGGAGGGTATATGAACATGTAAAAGCCTGGCTACAACATCCAAGGCACACATATATCTGTGTGCATGTGTTTAAGTCTAGGTAAAGAGGACATGTGTTTGTGTGTATATGTTCGAGCTTGGGTAAGACACACATGAGTTTTGTACATGTTCAAGCCTGGATAGGGTATGGAGGACTCCCATGTGCTGGAGCTTTTCAGACAGTTGTTACTGATAATGGGAATCAGAGGTTGCACTTCCTGGCAGATAAATCTACAACTTAATACTGGAATGACTGTTCTTTCCTTCCCTGTGGAAACAAAGATAAGAGTTCCCAACTGAGAGGACACAGATCCATTTGCAAGGTCTCTTTGTGTGCCTATGTGTGTGGTGGTGGTTGTAATCTCTCTCTCCCTTTCCCTCTCCCTCTCATTTATTTCCCTCTGTGTGAGCCTGTGTGTCTGTGTGTGCAAGCAAGAGCATCTGTGTTAATTAATATCAGGATTAGAGAATTGCTATAATGAAATAGAGCTTTGGCACCTTCCCCTACTTGTCTCATACCTGCCTTTACCCTGGGGATGCACTGTGGGAATGAGGCATTGTTATGCTTGGTTTCAATCTTAAAGGAAAGATACTCATTAGCCCTGGGCACAGCTGGATATGGTTTCACCTGTGACAATGTTGCCTAAATTCTCCTTCAACCTATTTCTAAGTTAAGACCCTTCCTTCCAAATGGGCATCCTCCTTTCTGAGCAGTCACTTAGAAAATCTTAGTATTTCCCCCTGAACGATTCTTAGTATGTAACAAAGCTAGAATAATGCTGGGTTCTATCTTGGGTGATCAGGCATTAGTTTGATCCCACTCCTTGTATCAGTCTATCCTCCACCAAATCATATGTCCTTGCCATGCTTGGTTTTCTCACTTATAATTGGGAGGTTGATGGTCTCTCACATCCCTGATAGCCCTAAAATCACATGTATCTTGGCTTCTGTGATCCAAGTTTAAAGAACATTTGGAAACTTCTTTCTGTCCCCCTTGTCCTTTCATCCTCATTTCCTTGTTGTTGACATTAGGTCCCCTTGAACATAAACCAGCCAGGACCATGAACTAGTAAAACAATCTTTTTCCAAGTGTTTTGTGAGCTGCTGACTTAAATGAAGAAAACAAACAAACAAACAAACAAACAAACAAACAAAAAACACTCATATGATGAATTCAAGTTCTGAAAAGACACATGTTCTTTTCTTGACCAGACATATTGGTGTGTGTTGTGTGGAGTCAAAATAGTCCTGTCACATTTTAAAGACTTTTAAAGCTGCATTTCAGATGTGTGAATCTACAAACGCATTTTATGTTCATGGTCCCAAGGCTAGAAAGCTATTGTGTGACTTGCTCACTCGTAGGCCATCACAGTCTCCTTGGGTTTGAGGAAGACACTCTGGTTACACTGGTGGGTACTAGAAGTTCACACAGCTGCCACCAACAAATTTAATTGATTGCTGTTGTTGGCAGTAACAGCAGCTAACTTGCTTGGTACAGGTTAAATATGTTAAATACATGGCTTCATTGTTCATCTTTAAGAGACAGAAGTAAATTAAGAAACTGGGTCTCACAGTGATTAATGCTTTCCAGGGTTACAGAAGCAGCAATTGGCACAATGATATTTACAAGTTTCTCTCACAAGCCAGACCATGGAAATGGTGAGTTGTTGTTACAAATTTGGAATTCAAAAATTGTTAAAGACAATTTATCCTTTAAATTGTTTTTAGATTTATTGGTTTTAATTTATGTGCATGAGTGTTTTGTCTTCCTGTATGTATGTGTGCCATGTATGTACCTAGTACACACAGAGACCAGATGAGGGCATTGGGTCCCCTGGAACTAGAGTTATGGGTGGTTGCATGCTTCCATGTGGGTGCTGGGAACTGAACTCGGGTCTTCTGTAAGAACATGCACTCATAATGGCTGGGCCATCTCACCAACCCCCAAAATGACAATTTCTCTTTAACAATACTCCATTCCACTCCTTTCTTAGTTTAGGATTCTCTAAAATGTAGAGCCTGACCTGGCTATATACCTTGTATTTTTAAGTGAAATAAAAATTAAGGCAAAAGGGATTGGGGATAGAGAGAGCTAAGAAAGAGGTTTATCCACTGTGGCACCAAGGGCTCAGTACCTCCCTCCTTCCTGGAAGCTCAGAGAATGAACTGTGGGTCTGTCTTCCAGCAGAGGAGGCCAAAGCATATCACATGGTTTCTGCTGGGCAAGGGTTGCCTCTGATGTTGATAACTGCATGAACTTGCAGTGTCTACTAGTTAACTGGTAAACAGTGTTCACTGGAAGAGACTCTGGGCAGAACGCAGAAGACAATATAGGGTGAACTCAGTGTGGAAGCCTAATAGGGTGGAAAGAATGAGAGGAACCTGCACTGTGTCCCCAGCTACACTACACTATGGTGAGGTACTTCTCTCACCTTCAAGTGTCCTTCCTGTCTTTCCCACTGAGATCCCAATCTGCCTTTAAGCAGTCAGAAGAGAGGCTTCTTCTGGCCCTCCTCCTTCCCCAGTGGACCTCCTTGCTTCAATTCAGCCTTAGAACCTGGATTATTATTATTATTATTATTATTATTATTATTATTATTATTATTATTTTAATCTCTCTCACTAGGCCAACCTTCCACACTAAAATCAAGTGTTTCTATGCAGGTACACAGAGGGATTTCCCAGACTGTCTGTCTATAGCATTTTATTATTGAAGTAAGTAAAAGTAGCTGCCTACCTGTCCTATTTCTCATGGACTCAGATCCCAATTTCATTCTGCTTCAGCTCCATAGGTGGAAAGAGCAGACCTCTTCCAGCCCTCTCTGATCCTGAGAGGGGTCATCCAGAACTGCCTACAGTGATCCAGGTGACATGGTACTATGGTTGTGTAGGTAGAGGTGGTGCTGTGGGATGTTCTGTATGGCAAATGTGTTGCTCTGATTGGTTAGTAAATAAAACACTGATTGGCCAGTAGTCAGGCAGGAGAAAGTATAGGTGGGACAAGGAGGAGAAGAATTCGGGGGGAAAAGAAAGGCTGAGTCAGAGACACTGCCAGCCTCCACCATGACAAGCCTCATGTGAAGATGCCAGTAAGCCACGAGCCACATGGCAAGATATAATTTTATAGAAATGGGTTAAAATATAAGAACAGTTAGCAAGAAGCCTGCTATGGCCATACAGTTTGTAAGCAATATAAGTCTCTGTGTTTACTTGGTTGGGTCTGAGCAGCTGTGGGACTGGCAAGTGAGAAAGATTTGTCCTGACTGTGGGCCAGGCAGGAAAACTCTAGCTACAAGGTGGTCTAGCACCTTTCTCTCCCCTCATGCAGCACCAGCACCAGCACCAGCACCAGCACAGACTTTCTTCCTGGCAATCATTTTGGTTCCTTGAGTCACAATGATTCATGCACAGGTGTCTCTTCATTAATGGACTCCTGAAGGAAAGAAGATTGCCTTATTCATCTTCCTATCCCCAAATAGGACAAAAGGGACACCCTAAGTGGCCCAAAGCAGCCATTCTTTGTACAGTGGCACCCATGATGCAGATACCACTAGGTGGTAAAGTGTTTCACATGCTTGTGTTTCACCAGCTCCCCAACCTCAGTGTGTACATGTTATCACATTATGACCTTCGAGATGATCCTGCTACTATTTCCCCATTTCACAAACAAGGAAACTTAAGGCTTGGTTAGAGCAAGTGATTTGTGTGAGATTATGCATGTAGCAAGTGCTGGTGGCAAGACTGAATCCAGTCCTTCTTAAACCTAGCCAGTCTGTGTAATTCCAAGTCCTGTGACCTGTAAGGGGCTCTTCCAAAACATGGGAAACAGCACCAGGCATCAAGCATACCCAGGTCTGTGCTCTCTTTCAGCCTTCTCTTCTATAACAGGATCTGCTTTCTCTCTCTCTCCAGCCACCTAGACCCTACCACCCATGATGTTAAGAGAGAACCTTATCGCCTTAATGATATGCACAGAGATGTGACTGCACAACACACTCAGGGGTCTTCTTGTCTTTCTTAGCTACATGCCTGATTTGATTCTATTAAAACTTTTATACTTAAGCCAGGCATGATGTCTCAGGCCTATAATCACAGCTACTACTTGAGAGGCTAAGGCAGAAGAATCTTAAGTTCAATGTCTGCCTGGGTTACAAAGTAAGTTAAAGGACAGCCTGGGATGCCTAGCAAGGAAATCTCAAAATAAAAGGTAAAGAGGGGACTGGTAATATGTCACTCAGTGACAGAACATCTTCCAACCATTTGCAAAGCCATAGGCTCAACCCCTAGTCTGTTGTATACAACAGAAATAAAATTATACTAAGATAAGTCATTATGATCCATTCTGGGCACTCAGTCTGAAAACCCCACTCAGGCATTTCTTTCCATGTTCAAGCTTTGTCCAGATCCTTTTCAACTTTCCTGCTTTGAATTGGTATCTTATATTTACACCTCACACATACTGATCCATTCCTGATCTGTAACTTGATCTCAAGTCTCATAGCAAGTGTTAGTGGTCCACAGGCACCTGTGGACACAGGCTCTGGATGCCCTTCTGCTCTGCTCTGGTCCAGTTCCTTTTCAAAACCCTTCACTATGAAGCCTTTGATCAGAGTATGAGAAGTGGACTTACCTCTCACAGTAATAGAAGAGTCTAAGGGTCTAGTTAGTAATCAGTTTGGGGGAATTTTTCTTGATATTGGGGGTCTTCTGGGTGATTTTATTCAGTCTTCTGGGTGACTTAGAATAGACATTTAATTCATGAATTTCTCTGTACAATTCTGAATTTTACTATGTTCAGTCTGTAATAGATTACTGGCAATCAGGCAAGAAAGCAAGCAATCAATAAGGTGAATGAGTAAATAAGTTTTCCACAATTCACTCACTGTGTGGAACAGTAGTGCCAAAGTGAGTACTGGAAATTCTAGGAGTTCTAACAAGTAGGAACTTTCCCAACTATTGCTGTGTTCTCAGTGAAAGGTATGTAGATAATCACAGGACCTCCCTCCCTCCCTCCCTCCCTCCCTCCCTCC